ATGTTAAATTAAAACCATGATGAAAAAATAAGCGATCAAATAAACTCTAAATTATATATATTTTAAAAGTGGATGCCAACAAAGAAAATGTTCATACTCTAATTTTCTGATTGATAGAATATATTTGAAATTATTGATATAAGCCAAATCAAAGCCAGAGAAACACTAGATTTTTTGTTTGATGAAATTAATAATTTAGCAATGAATTTATCTTTCTCTTAAACTTAGAGTTCTGTATACACTTATGTTGAATATTCAATATTAACAAAACTGATAATGGTAATGTATTATTACTTTGAATTGATGTTAATATAGTATCATATGAAAGTTGTTCATAGGATAATAAATCACGTGTACCTAACCGTTCAATATTTGTAAATAAATTATTTGAACTTGTATCTAATGTTGAACGTGTTTGCATTTATTGACCACCGATAAAAAAAAAAGAACAGATAAAATCTAGTTTTTTTTTCAATCTTGTTACTATTGTGTTGCATTTATTTCTAAAGTTTCTTCTTTTTTTTTAAAATTATTTGTTGTTTGTTTATTTTCATCATTAGATTGATTTATGGTGGATTAATTGAAGCTAAAAATGAAGTCTATATTTCTTGAAATTGTATTCTTGATAATCAACCAACTTCAAAATTGTCTTGATATATGTTTACATGAATTAAATATTGGTAAACAAAAATAATAGTATAGGTATACAACGTAAATCATGTCAATAAATATATGATATATATATTTATATAAATTATTTCTGATATAAACATAATATATCATGTATATCACCTGTTGAAAATTGACATGTTAATTCAACATAATTTTGTATTTTATCAAAATATATTGATATAGAATCTATTAATGCAATTGAATATGGTTGATTATTAGAGCATGATGAAAGACTTTTTACATAAATTATATTAGGTGTTGTTTCAATGTCATTTTAATTTGTTTCATTTGATATAACTATACAAAATTCTAGGAAAACAAACAAAGAACAGATTTATATTGTTTTTTATTTTCTCAAATCAATTTTCATTTACTGTAAGAATCATCCTAAAAATTTTATGCTATGGAAAAAAGCCAATAGGTTTTCGGAGTTCACGAGTTCAGACTTATAGAAAGTTTATCGAAATTCTCGAATGCAATTTATTTCGAAATATTATTTTCGGTTCAAATGAATAACATAATCGAAAACATCTTACGAAATATAATATTAGAAAGATGTCATTTTCTTTAATTGTAACAGTACAAATAGCACGACTGAGAATTTGATCAATAAGATTCGAGAGGAATTATTCGGTCATTGTACTAATGAAGCTTAAATGCTTTCCTTTACGATTTGTATTACCTGAAATTCTGCATATTTTCTATTTCAAAATATTTTTCGAAATTTTGATTTAAAAATCTCATCTATTACTGACACATCAACAATGTCAAAGTAAAACAAACATTTTTCCTTTAATTGGATTAAAATTTTCATTATACATATATATATATTTATTTTGATAAATTAAACTAAAGCATACCGATGACATCATAAATGGTAATCAGTTTTTATAAGTTACATTTTTAAGCATTTGTACATAAATTTTTCTTGTTATATATATAGGATAATTAAGATTATTAAAATCTTCTTTAATAATATCAATTGATGTTGTTATTGATAATATTTATAAAATTTATGGTATATATTTATGTCATAATTGTTTATTTAATGGTAATGGAAGAAATTGTTCAATTAATAAAACTAATACAAGACCACTTTCATCTAAATGTATTCCTTCACAAACGAATAAATGACTTGCAACTGATGTACGATGTATAAGATCAAATAAATTATGTCCATATGTACATGTATCACTTTGTTCAAATAAAAAATAATAATAATAATTGATAATGTGTTGTTATTGATGTAAAATGTTCAACATATAATTCATGATGATATATTAAATCACAATAAGATTGTAATTGAACACTTATAGATAAATGTATTTTTGATGATGATGGTGTTAATATCGGTGACCAGCATGCTTCTTGTGTATAATCAAGCATATTCAGAATGTGTCCATTGTAATAATAATGAGATATAAAATGATAAACATAATAATTTAAAACATTCACTTAAAATAGTTAAAAATGAAAATGTCTCAAAACAATGTACAGTTTCATCATGAATTCATAATTGATGAAAATCATTTACAATTGTTCGAAATTGTTTAGCCAAAATAAAATTATAGATCTTATATAAGCATAGGAATTTTAAAGTCAAATATTTTTCGCTAGGTCATTAGTAATTAATGAATTGCAGGAAAGTTTTATCTTCAAATTAATGAGTGATATGTTACTATCATATAGATTATGATGAAAGCTTAAGCTCTTTTGACTTTGATAGAAACCAGTTATTATCTGCTCAGTTAATCCATAATATACATAAGTACATAAAGATAATCGGATGCGAGAGAAACTAATGTCATATCGATTTGATCACGTAATTGTCGAGTATTAGTTAAAATTCGAAGAAGAGTTCTGAAAACAAAAACGAGAATAATACTTGTTAAATTATAAATAAAATCATTTCGAATACGTACGCACTAAATGTTTCATCTCGTGTTCCATTAACGGATAATAAAACATCATTCTATCGTGTTAATATAGCATCTTCAGTTAAATTTTGTACAATATATCGAAGTATTATATTTATATTGATTAACTATCGATTTGTAGATTGACAATTGACATTCTAAAAAAATTTAAACTATAGGAAAATTTTATACATAAAAACAACGAACATTTCTATTACTAATGCTCGAAAAGCAACAACAAATGGATCAATTGATCGTAATGCAAGTGATGACACAACATCAAATAGTATTAATTGTGTGGAATAAATATCCAAAAGTGATTGATCCTATTTGAACAAAAAAAAGTAACGTAGAATCAGAGACTATTAAAACAAAAAAATAACCTGAGATTGTAAATGAGCAAGAAGTAAATCGACAATTTGTCGTGAAAGACGTTTCCATTTATCATCCTCAATTCGAACACTATTAACAATAACTATGAACAATCATAAAGCCTATAACAATATAAATTCTATTATTATTTTTCCAGTACATACACATGATATGAAAAGATACTTTTATTTATAATAATTAAGACGCCTAGTTTTCCTTCAAACTCCAATACGTCACTGAAGATTACTGTCTCTAAATCTTATTAAGTTCTGGACATCAACAAGATGATTATTTTCAGATCATCGATTCGTTGAAGTGTGGGTGTGGGTTCAATCGAGGAGAAAAATTACATCTATACATTCACACTCACTCTCTCTCATTTAATAAAACGTTTTAGGAATTTTAATTATTCGCATAACTCGAACAAGAAAAAAATCATATAAAACTGGTTCTAATGCTGCCAAAGCTAAACAAAGAATTCTAACGATAATTTATTTTTCTCGAAAATGTTTTTTTTTGCTTCCTACCATGTGTTTTAGGTTCATGTCCACTTGCTAATAATGAATCATAATGTTTTATTAAACCTTGTGCTTTAATAACTTGTTTTGAATGAAGTGTATCATGTAATAACATAACAAGAAATTCAGCAATACAATAAACAAAATGCTATTTAAAAATAAACGAAACGATTAGAAATGCAACGAATTTCATCAG